CCGACCCACCATTCAACGCAATGACCGACCCACAGACCGACCCAACGACCAACCCACCATGCAACGCAACGACAGACCCACCGACCGACCCACCATTCAACGCAATGACCGACCCACAGACCGACCCAACGACCAACCCACCATTCAACGCAACGACCGACCCACCGACCGAGCCTCCGCCGGTGAAGAGAACTCCCACTGTCACATTGTGCTATTTTGGTAAAACACAGAAAACCAAACTTTTTTAAATAAAAGACAGAAATAAAAGTCCATCTCCCATCATGGCAGTTATGCAATCCGAAATCTTTTGCCAGACTGGAGGCCTTTAAAATTAAAGGCTGTTCATTTCAGCGTTTTTCTTTTTTTGTCTGCAAACACATAGAGCTATAATTTTAAGATGCTGACACGGGGCAGCTGTGATATTTTATTTGAGGTTATCAAATTCTCCCCCAGACATTGGCCGTTTCTAAATTCACTAGAACGTGAGTACAGACCCGTGTTCTCGCCAAGTCTGTCCTTTTCAAGAACCTAGGACAGTCTGGACTCGGGGAGAACGGGAGCACGCAAAATAAATCTGGGTCAACTGGAACAGCAGCGTACTGATGACATCACCATATTCAAAGCTAGTCTGGAGCTGCATTTCTCCTCCTGTTATTAATAGTCTCTAGATAATAATAAATTATTTTTTCATTTAGTGGAGGAATAATGATGAACACAGTCAGATAAACACAAATCAAATGAACATTTTGCCAAATAAAACAAAAAAATGAGAGCCAGCGGCCCTTCATACACGGCTATGCAGAGAGAGGGCTGCTGCAGACGGGCTAACGTTAGCCCTGGCTGCTGCAGACGGGCTAACGTTAGCCCTGGCCGCTGCAGACGGGCTAACCTTAGCCCTGGCTGCTGCAGACGGGCCAGCGTTAGCCCTGGCTGCTGCGGACGGGCTAACCTTAGCCCTGGCTGCTGCAGACGGGCCANACGACCAACCCAGCATTCAATGCAACCACTGACCCACCAACCGACCCAAAGACCGACTCAACGACTGACCCACCGACCTACCCACAGACCGACTCAACGACCGACCCACCATTCAACGCAACGACCGACTCAACAACTGACCCATCATTCAACACAATGACCGACCCACAGACCGACCCACAGACCGACCCACAGACCGACTCAATGACCGACCTACCATTCAAAGCAATGACCGACCCACCATTCGACGCAACGACCGACCCACCACTCAACGCAACCAACGACCCAACAACCGACTCACCATTCAACGCAACGACCGACCCAGTGACTGATCCAATGACCGACCTACCATTCAACCCACCGACCGACCCAACGACCAACCCAACAACTGACCTACCATTCAACGCAACGACTGACCCACCGACTGACCCAACAACCAACCCAACGACCGACCCACCGACCGACCCCCAGACCGACCCACAGACCGACTCAACGACCGACCCACCATTCAATGCAATGACCGACCCACCCACCCACCCACAGACCGACCCACCATTCAACGCAATGACCGACCCACCGTTCGACGCAACGAACGACCCACCGACCGACCCAACAACTGACCTACCATTCAACGCAACGACCAACCCACCATGCAACGCAACGACCGACCCACCATTCAATGCAATGACCGACCCACCCACGCAACGCAACGACCGACCCACCATTCAATGCAATGAC